ACCTTAGTGATTCTGTGATTCTGTAAATCAGTCCCAAAATTATGAATATGATCTATGATTAAAAGGGTCAGTGTGTTGGGGTGGGATGGTGGAGAAGTGTAGAATTGGCTGCCTAATCATGGCTTGGCTTAAGAGTCAAAACATTTTCCTAGCCTATATAGTTCCTACAAAAGACTTTGGTAGTTTGGTTTCATTATAAATCAATATAGTATTAGATTTGAGTTCATGGAGAGCTCTGAAATAAATTGAATGTGTGAGCCAAGTTCACTGTCACTGAGCTACATATATTGATTTTGCTTTGTTGATGCAAGCTCTTTTGTCAACACCAGCTGCAGAAAATATGAAAACAGAGTGATAGTGAGTTGGGTATAAAACCCACAAAATTTTATATGTTTTTTAAGTTTTCTTTTCAAATTTTGCCAAACCTAATATGGACTGTACAGTATAGTATCACAATTGCAGTAAATGTCCTAGCCTTGTAATTTTTATAATCCTTTTAACTATGAGAGATCTGAAAATTTGTAAATAATAATTTCATTATTTTCATATTAAGGTGTGTTTTTTTCCTTTGCGTACAAATGGTTTATTACAGACTTAAAACATTATGTAGATTTCAAGTAACTTCCTCTCTTTGATAAACAACTATTTGACATTTATTAATGATAAACCAAGAACTAAATGTATTGCTTTTGACAATGCAGTATTTTGCCACCTTGGAAAAATAACAATGGAACAGATCGTGAATATTCTAATAGACAATTTCTTCCCAATTCCATGGCAAAAAGTGTATTTTTTTTTTATCATTTTTTAAATAGCTAACGAAATTGCAGTTGCTAAATCTGCTTTCACTTTGATACAAATCTTGCATGGTTTATTATAGAAATTCATCATTATTTGCTTATAAATCCTTTTCAGTTTTAGGAAGGGGAAGAGATAGGAATAAACTAGAATTATAATGAAAGACATTCAGAAAATAGTTATGCTTTTTCAATTCTACTGATTATTTGATGTACTGCTATTCAGAAGACAGAAACTCGGGGAATGATGAAATTCTCTCTTACTCCCTTATGTGGTGCTGCTGCTGTTGTTTTTGCTTGGTGAAGCTACAAGCCAGGGGTAGAAGATGGTAACTATAAAATTCCAAAGGATTTGGCGGTAACTCAAGAATTTGAACTAAAGAGAGGGGGTCAAGAACAAGCCTTGCACATGGGTGCACGCTACAAAGAAAATTAAAGGACAAAATAATTTCTAGCCTGAAATCTTTAAGGAACTAGAAAAAATACTATCTTATTCATCTCAGAGGACTTTGAAAGAACTGTCTTCTAAAATCTCAGTTCATGCTTTCTTGGTCTTCAGTTCCTCAGAACTGTCTTTTGACTTCTTAGCTGATCATTTGTCCATAAAGGAGAGCTATTAAAGAGAAATCGGACTTCGCTGAGCACTTTGACAGTTGGAGGTTGTTCCAAAGAAATTTTGTGTCTGCTTTTTAATGATAAGAGCTGAGATTTCCTTCAATTCACACAAAAAATGCCATGTTACTTAAAGAAAATTGGTGTTGCTCCTAGAAGGGTAGTCTTAGAACTGTGTTGTAGGATAACCATTTAAAAATAAGGCAGTTGGAAGATCACTTTGGCAACTGGAGGGTTCTAATTAAAAAGTGCTTCCATGAAGCCTGTTTTTCTGTATGATGTATTTAAAAAAAAAAAAAAAAAGAATTGGAATAGAAACTACAACTATGATCCAGTTATAATTAAATGTACTGAAATTATATTTTAGCCAGAGATAAGATATGTGACTTCTGAAAGGTGAAGGCTAGGAATATTATGATAATAAATGTCATTAGGTCTTCTAACTCTGTGGGAGTAAACATGAGAAACTGGCATTAACAGTGCCGATTAAATGCCGTACTCAAATTTTGTTTCTCTTCCACTGCTATGGCAATTTTACAGAAACACTCATTTATAATAGTACTTTGATACTTTATTTCCATTACCAGTAATTATCCTAACCTCAAAATGTAATGTGCTTGTCTAGAAGTGTAGCGTACATTGCAAATATGCAGTTTCTTTTGGGGCACCCTTATGGTCTGTATAGACTGATGGCATACAGTTAGAAGTAAGTGTTATTTCAGGTTGTGTAGATAAGGTTACCTGTGTTTTAATTTTTCGTTACTGCTTGTGTGCTGCCAGTGTGACCGTGGCTGCTCAGTCTGCTCAGTTCTGTCACTGTACGAAGAACATCCATCTCGTGTGATTTGGATGCACAGGGATATCTGTGTTGGCATCATTTCTCCTCAAGTTTTATGCAAAGTTTGTAGACTTGGCAGCTTTTCACAATTTTTTTTGTCAAATGTCAAAAATTGTGATTGAGCTGAACTGACAGAAATTGAAGTGGAAAAGAAAGGAAGAAAACAGCTAAGACTGTCCTAAAAAAACCCCCCAGATGTGTTTTGTGAAAAGTGAGGGGAACAAGAACAGGCATGTGGTTGAGAAATGTGCTGCTCTTTCAGTGGGGTGTGGAAGCTGGATGGTACCTGAGCAGCAGGAGCAGGGCTTCACAGGTTTCAGGGAATGGAAACCGCTGATACACAGTTTTCTGAAGATTACGGAATCCTTGTCCGGCTTCTCAGGTTCCCAGCCTCAGCCAGGAGAATGGGAATGGGCTGTGTCTGTGTTTTCCTGCTTCTAGTAATTAGTACTCTCTTACCTCACCAGTTCATTTGCTGTCCCCCTGTGTAGCTGGGAAATCTTGTTTCCAATATGGTCTGTGTGTGACCTAACAACTTGCCTTTCCGTTCGGGAAGCTATAGTGCAGCAGGGGAATGGAGATCTGGGAGGTTTCCACATTCCCACGGCACCATGGGGAGTCCGCTAGAAGCAAAGAAAAACAGCCTTTAGAAAGCGTGTTTGTTAAGAAATAATGTAGGAATGGTTTACTTCCTCGTAGTGGCTGTCCTACATTGTAGGTAAAGGTGAAAAGGACCAGCTTAGTATTTTTCTGTATACAGCATTCCTTCAAGGTAAAAAGAGAAAACCTAAATTCTTTACAGACAAAGGTTCCTCTGTTTTGTTCAGGTGAGAAGGAAGCAGTAGAAAAGGGATTTTTGTAGGTCATTGATTCGATGGTGGAATTCTGTAATCTCACACTGATCTTTCTGAAACATAATGCAAGATAAGACTCATACTTAGGAGGAAGTTAATCTTGTTGTGGCCAGTAGCTTAAAAACTATGCATGTATAAGTGTGTGCCACCTAACTGTGACATTTTTTACAAAATTTCTTGAGTTCTCAGCATTATTCATGCTCTTAGAAAATAACAATTTTTTTTAGGAGTGGTTAAGCTACAGTACATACTTTTGATACCTTACATGTAGTAAATGCACTTCAAGGTGTCAAAGGGGAAATTGAGTATATTGTGGAGAATGTGGCTATTTTCCTTTATGCAAGTTGAAAAAAATCCAGTTTCCTTCTAAAAAACAGAAACCAAACAAACCAGCTCACCCCCTCAAAAAAACACCTATGGGGAAGGCTTCAGCCAGTGCTACGTGGATAACGTTGGAGGATAGCCAGGTGATGATACATCAGTCAAGTTTCTTGACTGAAATGTCTTCACTCCAGATTGTTATTATAATTGGAATAAATGATGAATCTGTATTGACCACCCAGAGGGGAAGAGGGTTTGTACAACTGATGTAATGCTTAGAGGGCACTCTCTCACTCTTAAGTCATCACTTGTAATTAAATTTTGCTTGTCAAGTAAGAGTGAACTTTGTGTCTGTGAATTCACCTGGAATGAATGAATGTAATATAAAAAATGAAAGTATGTCATTTAAATTAAGTCTAATAAGTACTTCCTTAAGTTGTTGGTATAGTAGGTTGTTTCCCATAAGGCTATGTTGAAACTATAATCTTGTAGCTTATTTTATATTATTATTTTGAGCTGCAGTCATTACTATGTTGACCTTTCAAAACGTTATTGCTAACATTAGAGGAAGAGGGAATAGGGAATTCAGGGAATGCAATTCTGATGCCTTTGATAACAGGCAGGCAAATCGCAGAATGCACCGACTGCTGAAATGACTCTAATGTTTAGGACAGTCCAAACTTTTAGAGTGAAACGTTAATGTCCTTGTAAATAATATTTTGGCAAGCTCATTCTAGCACATAGTACTTTTCTGTTCCAGACATAACAACATTGAAGCTTGATAATATTCAGATAATACATACTGTTGGATAGCATGTGTCTTTAACGTAACTGCTTAGCTATACTTATTCACAGATTGCTATATATTTTATTTAATTAAATTATTGACTTGATCTATTCTTCTTCTCTCTTTTTACTGCTCCCCATCTCAGAGTGATAGCCTTTCAAGGTATGTGCAACTTAAATAAATGAATTTAAAATTGTTACACTTTTTGTTCCCATATTCATATTTTAAGTTCTTTATGTACAAATTCAGTTTAACCTCAGTAGTCAACTGGGTTGAGCTTTAAAAGGCATTAATGATATTTAACATTTGTATGAAATATGGTTGTAAAGCTACAGTAGTGAATTTTTTTTTCCGTATGTGGGTGGGATACTCCATTCTAGGGAATGTATTGGAGTCTGTATTTGTAGTGCACTGAAGGCAAGCTGGGCATTTTGTAGAACACAGTGGATACAGTAGCATTCCCAACAAATACTTCAGTGTGAAGTCAGCTTTTACAAAGAAGACAAGAAGTTCTTGTTGCCCCTCTTTTAAAATACCCTACTGAAAATTTTCTAAGGAGTCTCAAGAAAAGTACTACAGCCTCTGAAAATCAGTTAAAAAGCACATGCAGAAGTATCAGTCATTTAAAAAACACCTTCATTTGGTTTTAGACCTTTAGAATTAGTTACTGGATTTTATTATGTTCTCTCTGTGCTGAAAATCTGTTGAATGGAACTCCTACAGCACAAGATTAGTAAAGAGTGAGCAGGGTGAAATTATTCTAAATTTTATTAATGCTGCTTGTAATTAATGATTAATAGGATAAAGACTTTGCTGAAGATTTGTTTCATAAACTGCTTCTGCTGAAATACTGGAATTCACAACAAATAGTTTTGAAATCTCCTTGGTTTCTCTAATAAAACTTGGAGAATTCATCTAGGCCAATATTTTAGAGATTGCTTTTTTAAAACCTTTTAATTAAAGTAATATGTTTTTTAAAATAGATCTTCTTTATAAGAAGAATTAAATTATCTATGCTAATGTAAAGTCCTTTAAGACATTTAAATATTTGCTTGGATTAAATATTTTAATTTAATTTGAAAGATTTCTCGGCATACAACGCAGGCACTTACTTGGCAGACTGAGCAATTTGAAAACATTTTCACACAGAGAATCATGAAGTTCTGAGGGAATGTAAAAATGAAATAATTTGCATCAAGTTAGAAGACAGTGGCTTAACTAAAATACATAATTGCATTTGGTTGTTTTCAGTGGGATAATGTGTAATTTCACAACGTTTGATACAGTGAGTGGTCTCAGTTTGAACGCAACGGCAAGGAAAAATAGGAGCTTTTCTTTTACAGATACGATACGGGATCCCTCAGCATGTCTTCAGGTGAACGTTATGATTCAGCGCAGGGGCGATCGGGGTCACAGAGTTACCTTGAAGATCGAAAACCGTACTGCAGCAGACTAGAAAAAGAAGATAGCACTGATTTTAAGAAGGTATCTGATCCGATAATTTTGGTGTGAAAATGGAACTTTATTATTGTTTCTCATAAATTGTCTGGAAATAATCTCACAAATGCCGCTTAAGGCAACTCAGCTGAATGGAGGAGCAGAGCAACCACTACAGTGAGGGAGAATGCACATTACAAAATGGCTTCTGGCTTTTGCACTTTTCAGTGCAAGGGAGAAATCCAGAGGAGCCAAGTTCCATTTTTTTATGACAAATGCTATCATATTATTTTTTAGTTGATTGTATCATTAATACTGCTTTATGCCTGTGAAGCCCTTTATTTTATATGTTTGCTAGCTTACATACATATGATGTAAAAATTTGTTTAGATCTTGCTTTAAAATAGAGGAGGAGTTTGTCGAAAGATGTACTCTGGTGTCTAATCTGTGAAGGCTGAAGCAAAAAAAAGTGGCAAGTATTTTTTTAATATGTGTACAGTAAGTTATGTGCTCCCTATGCAAAGTTGCTCATTTATAGAAATATTTGGTAACAGTTCTTTAAAGTGCTTGCTAATTCTAAACAGCTTTAAAAACTGACTTTTACTTCTTAGGCTATTAGTGTATTTATTCATTTTGCATGCACTTCCATCATAGTTTTTGAATTTTTCAGCTAATCTCACTGAATTATTACTTGCTATTTTATTAAATGAATATTTTCTTTTAGCTTTATGAACAGATTCTAGCTGAAAATGAAAAACTGAAAGCACAGCTACATGATACCAACATGGAACTTACAGATCTTAAGCTACAGTTGGAGAAGACCACTCAGGTTTGTATTAAAAAAAAAAAAGCCTGTAGTTAGCTGACATACTAGATAGCAAACTAGAAGCACCCCAGGGTATGGGCTCCTCTTTACTAGGCACCAGCTTAGTTTCATATCCAAAGATGTGAGCAAAGAAGAGTACCTCTCATTTCTAAAGAGAAAAGAGCGCAGGATTCTCATCTTCAGCTGTGAATAAAATGTGTGAGACTGCCTCCTGCCTGTTTAAGTATGTTGGTTCTTGCCAGCATATTCCTGTAACTTCTTTGCAGGGCAGAGATAAATGCTTTCTACATTGTTAAGCTTATATTCAAACTGTCAGTAGGGATTGATTGATTAACTCGTAAACCTGCTGGCAGATTGGTATAACCTGCCAGTTCTTCCTGGCTGGATAGATAGCTTTATCTTAGAACTGAAGAGCAAATAGTGCACTCCAGTTACAGATAACTGCTGTCAGATAACAGTGCTGCATACAGTAATACCAAATATGTACGCAATAGTTAAAATTTGTCTTAAATTGCTGTAGAGTGTTTCCTGTTCTCAGATCACATTTGCCACAATTTACCTGTGTAGGTACTTGAGGGTCTTCCTTGTGCACCCTATAAATATCAGTGAAGTACACTAAAAAGGTGTTTGTTTTTTAATGCTTTTAGATAGATATACTATATTACTCCTATTTGCCATAGGCTATGTAGTGATTAAATTACTTAGGGATGGTCACAGAGGAAGTGCGCGATAAATCTAGTTCATTCTTGTTGTACTTTATTTCAGTGTTACTTCCCTGAACACACTTTAAAATGCTTTTGAAGACATACTTCAGACAGAATACTAAAATGTCCAATTGAATTGGTCTTCCTCAGTTTTATGTTTTTTAAGAACAAGTACCAATGTCTTTATTAATTTTGTGTTTCAGAGACAAGAAAGATTTGCTGACAGATCACTCTTGGAAATGGAGAAAAGGGTGAGTTTCTGCCAAAGATCTCTTAAGTATTCCAATTCAGGCTTTGTTTCAGTTTGTTTTGCAACCCCTGGCTTGGATATATTTTAGTGGGAACAGAAGCCTTTCTTATAACTTGCATTTTTTAGAAGATTTGGGGAGTTTAGGTTTCACAGTGGCAATGAATGTGAGATACTGTGAGATGGAATTATTCTTAAGAATTGCCTTCACGTTGCCTGTTGGTTCATGACAACCAGCTTCTAAATCCCACTGCCCTCCAGGGATCTGCCGCTTGTTCCATCTTATCCAAAACAATGTTGGCACTCCAGAGGGTTAAGCAGATTCAGAGCATCTCATCTTCTAATGCATTTCCAACATTCAGAGACTTCAATTTCCTCAGAGCTTTCCAGAGACATGCGTGTTATTTTGCCAATTATTGTTGGTAACGAAGTAGCTGCTTCTACCTTACAGACATGACACCTTAAACCTGTTAATAATATAAAATTAATCATAATCTCTTTTCTTGTACTGTAACTTCTTCCAGAGGGAATATGATACTGGGGCAGGGGGGAAAGAGGGGGCATCAGGGTCAGAGACAACCCTAAATTGAGTGGGAAAGGAGCCATGTAATAAACCCATATGTGAGCTAGACTAGAGGACAGAAGTTGGGCACATGGTAATTTTAGGCTGTAGTTTCATGCTAGTTTATCCATCCCTATAAAACTTTAGTTCCACAGCAAGGTAAACCAAACTACATTGGTTTTGTTGTGGTCCTGGCTTCCTTCATGACCCTGGCCATATGTTTCTTTCTCTTCCCCTGATCCTGGAGTGACACATTAGACAGTTAAGCAGGAAGAAAACTAAGTAGACTTTGAAAGTAGTAAGTGATACGGTATACATTTATTTATCCCAGGTAAATTGCACATTCACTAGCCTGTTGTGTTTACTTTCCAGTATTTAAGGTTTAGAAAACAATTTCTAGTTCTACAAACCTGTCTGGTGTACAAACAAACACTTGGTAGATCTTAAAGGAGCACATGGACATGTAGAAATACTTTCAGGCGCTTCCTTGAACTTCCATTATCTTTATCTTAACAATCTCTCCAGATAATTGCAGCAGCCTTTTAGAACCTATTTCTCCTTGATTTTTGGCATCCTGCTGTTCACAGTGATTTCATCAGTAGAAAAGTTTCATCAGCAGCTTTAATTGGTTTCTTGCTTGTTATCACAGCCACACAAGTGGACATTTAATTATTTCATATTTAACTGTGTCCATTACTATATAGGTTCCATACTGTAGAGCGTTCAGTACTGCATAGCTAGACATTATTTCAGTTTTAAATTACTGGTTGGACTTGATGATCTTGAAGGTCCTTTCCAACCTTAGTGATTCTGTGTGATTTGATCTTGAAGGTCCTTTCCAACCTTAGTGATTCTGTGTGATTCTGTGTACTGCTTTGCTTTTTCCTAGAATAGGCCATTGCATTAAAATAATTGGCTATATTAGAATCATAGAATACCAGGTTGGAAGGGACCTCAAGGACCATCTGGTCCAACCTTTCTTGGAAAAAGCACAATCTAGACAAGATGGCCCAGCACCCTGTGCAGCTGAATCTTAAAAGTGTCCAATGTTGTGGAAACCACCACTTCCCTGGGGAGATTATTCCAATGGCTGATTATTCTCATGGTGAAAAATTTTCCTCTTGTGTCCAGTCGGAATGTACCCAGGAGTGACTTGTACCCATTAC